AAACATGTTGCATAATAATATTAGTACATAACTTCATGAAGATCTAGCAATTCTGCCGAAAGGAGTCTGTCTCCTGTTCTCAAAGCAATGTATGTGAGCAACAGTAAGTAAAGAAGCATTGCTGAATCTGTGGGTGCTGAGGGCTATCACCGGGGACAACATGTCATATGTAGTTTTATGTGCTACCTCTAGTTACAGCTATGTAACCTCAGTGAAGCTAGAAGTACGGGGAGAGAGGAGGCAGAACTTCAGAGTTATTTAAATTAGTACAAATGAGGAAAGAAGCATTTAAGTGCTCTAACCTGCTCACTGCTTGGAACATGGTGGAATGAAAGGTCTTCTAAAAGGGAATTTTCATGCTTATTTGATGTAATGGCCTAACTGAGCTGCTCTAAGTGAAAAGATGCTGTTCCCAATGACTGTGAGTCTCTTCTCGGTGCCTTTGTTCAGACTTGCCTGGTCACATGCAAAAGAGACAGATGTGACAGCAACTGCTGAATAATCACCCTGAGACAGTCATCTGAAATGGTGATGATTTAAGGATGGTGCTAGCTTGCTTTTGCTTTTTATGTGGCCTATGTCTGGGCTCACGCTGCTGGAGGCTTCTTGTCTTGCACAAAGAATGCGTCTTGCCTAGCTCTTTTTTCTTTTTTCCCCCCTAGACTGTAGCTGTATATTCTCCAAGTAACTGCTCACCTCTGCTGCTATAAGGCTGTGCACAAGTCGGCTGAACATGAGCCGGCAGTGTGCCCAGGAGGCCAAGAAGGCCAACAGCATCCTGGCCTGTATCAGAAACAGCGTGGCCAGCAGGACCAGGGCAGCGATCATCCCTTTGTACTCCGCGCTGGTGAGGCCGCAACTCGAATACTGTGTTCGGTTTTGGGCCCCTCACTACAAGAAGGACATGGAGGTGCTGGAAGCGTGTCCAGAGAAGAGCGACAAAGCTGGTGAAGGGCCTGGAGAACAAGCCTTATGAGGAGTGGCTGAGGGAGCTGGGGTTGTTTAGTCTGGAGAAGAGGAGGCTGAGGGGAGACCTGATCGCCCTCTACAACGACCTGAAAGGAGGGTGTAGCCAGGTGGGGTTTGGTCTCTTCTCCCCAGTAACTAGCGATAGGACAAGAGGAAACGGCCTCAAGTTGCACCAGGGGAGGTTCAGGCTGGACATTAGGAAGAACTTCTTCACTGTTAGAGTCGTTAAGCGTTGGAACAGGCTCCCCAGGGAGGTGGTGGAGTCACCATCCCTGGAGGTGTTCAAAAAACATTTAGATGTGGCTCTTCAAGACATGGTTTAGTGGGCATGGTGGCATCAGGTATATGGTTGGACTTCATGATCTTTGAGGTCTCTTCCAACCATAATGATTCTAAGTCTACAGATATGAGATAACCTGACAAGAACAGGTGATGTGGTAAGTCACCAAAAGTAGAGCTCTCTGGGCTTTCCTGCACCTATGTGGGAAATCTAACCTGTCTTGTGGTGCACATGGAGGCAGAGTCTACAACTATGAATCCAGTAAAAAAACCTAAAAAGTATCTCATCTTAATCTGGTTTTGCTGGCAAGAGGTAGCTGCCGGTACTTCTTCTCACATAACTGCACCCCCAGCTGTTGCATCTCTACTGTCTTCTGTTACTACTTCCACAAATACAAAGTGTCCCACGGTACTACTTGGCACAGGACAGTGCCTGTGTCCCTGCAGCCAGGCAGAATATTTATTTTATTTTGTTTATTTCATTTTATTTATTTTTACCATCTCTTTACTTTGTATCAAAGCAGATGCTGAAGGGAACCTGTACTCTGAAGGGCAGCAGGAGTGCAATTGCAAGTTGCCCTGCAACACTGCTGGAACTGAATCTAGGTGACAGCTTTCCCTTGTCAGTTTGCCCCAGTTGTGCGGGAGGTCACAGCATCCTACCAGGGTTGTACCTTGTCTACCACAGAGAGCAATGAAGAAGATCATCCAGCTAGGGTGCTCTGGACTGTTAGCACCCCCGAGTGCTATTTAGTGCTGCCATACCAACTCCTTTCAGGGTCATGAAAGTTAGTGGTTTTCTTCTCCAACCCCAAAGGAGTTTTTCTTCCCTTAAGTTATCTAAGCAGTGTAAACTCAAGTTACCACACCATTGCCATGCTAATAGTTCCATGCATTACATTTTTAGGTATTTGAGAAGTCTCATAAATCCCTGCTAAAGGGAACTATATTTAGAAAGTATCTTGTAACATAGTTAATGGCTGGTCACTTGCCTTGTCTGTGCAGCTTTGAAAGACTTCCAGCCTTCTTGCCTGAGCATGAGTTTGGCATATTGTGTTCTGATCTCTATAAGTAAGGCCAATATCAGTGTTGGTGGTTCAACTACAAGGTGGCTTCTAGGGCTGTTATATAGCTCTTTTTTTTTCCCCAGACACTGGTGTTCTAAAATAACATGTCCATGAGTGTGGGGGTGTTTTTTGTTTTGTGGTGGTTTTTGTGGTGTTTTTTTTTTTGTTTGTTTTTTAGTCTTTAGCTATTGTGTTACCGAGAGTGGTGCACCAACAGATCTGAGGGAAACTGGCTAACGGAGGTCTGCCTTCCTGAAAAATACCATTGCTGGAGAAGAAGTTTCTATATGTTAATTTCTGGGAGAATCTTAGATAATGCTGTGAATTACACTGTGGGCAAGTCAAGCAATAAAGGGGAGCTTGGCATGTGACACCCTATCCAGTACTGTAATGAACAGTATTGAAGTCTGTGGACACATGGCTGATAATTTGAATACCAGTTTTTAGTGGCAACTGCTATCCCCATCTGTTTTCACGTGGCTCTGAATGACTTCATTTGATACTTATGTTCACTGTTTCCTTGTACTCATTGGAATGCAGCCCACTTCAGAAAACATGTAATTCAAATAACTTTCCCTAGGAAAGTGGGATCTTTTGAATGCATTTTTTTTCCCTTCATATCCCTTACAGCCAGTCAGTTATACAGAACCTGTGTAATACCAGAAGGAAGCATAGAGCAGAGAAGTCCTTGGTCTCTTCCTTATAAATATGGAGGGATTGTTCTTCACCACCAGTTTCTGAAGTTGTAATGAGAGTACAGGGAAGGGTAGGGAAGACAAAGCTTTGAGAGTATTTACCAGACACATGGAAAATGCAGAGTGGAGCTCTGCCTAGCCCTTTGTTGCTTCCAGGATGATCTTGTCCATAGAGTATTTTTTTTTTTGAAACAAAAAAATTGGTTGCTATGAGTTGTCTGAGTAAGTCTGGCCACTTCTGCTCCAAGATAGCTATGATGTGGAGGTGACTTCTACTTCAAGAATCTCATATGTCCAGTAGTACATATATATAAAGCCAGGCACTAGTGTGGTCCAGTCATGAGTCACCCTCCTTCTCCTGCTGTAAAGGAGCACAGATGAAACAGATTTCTTTCCAGAGCAATGCTGTTCACTTTTTCCAGCCTGGAAACTTTAGATTGACAATTCAGAGCTAAATATAATCTGGCTGGCTACAGGGAGTGACTCAGATGCAACAAGCAAGTCTGCCCTATCACCACTTCCAAAAAGCCCTGTTGGCTTTTCTGCATGAGTAGCAGAAGCAGGTGGGGAACTAGTCTGAATTTTAATCTCTTTCCATCCAGTTGTCCTGTCTCCTGTTGGCACAACTGACTTAAAGAATGAAGAGCCAGTCTTTGCTCTGAAATAATTCTTGGGGGTTCTTCCTTCTTTCAGAAAATGCTCTCTGACACTGCAGGTAGAGTCTTGGCATACTAGTCCAGCAAGAAATTTCTTCTGCCTGTGCCGGATATGAAGCACAGACCACAAACCATAGCATCCCCCTCAGCAGTGGGGTGGAGTAGTGAGTCATTGTGCCTGTTAGCTTTGGAACGGTAAGACTGACTGCAAAGTCTACAGGAAGAAATCTTGACTACGTCTGGCTTTATTGGGGCAGTGTTATGTTGCTGTCATAGTTGCAACAGTTCAGAGCCCCCAGCTGCTGTGTAATTAGGTCAGTGCACGTACAAGTAAATCAGAATGCACATGAAATCACATAACTTACTACTATATAAGTGAAATATAATAGAGCCTGGACTTTGTGGGAGTACAGCAACTAGCTAAGTGAAGTCAGTGCTGAAGGCTTGACTCTAAACAAGATCTAAATACTTGGGAAAGTGGTTTGCGCAGGTGACGTTCTTGCCCTGGTCCAAAAAAGGGACTTGCTGTTTATAGTCCAAAGCTGATCCACTCGATTGCTTGGTTTGCTTGGCAACTCCAATAACAATAATAGAACACAAACCTCAGCAGTGACTCTCTTGCCAGGCCTGGCTCTTGTTCTTGCAAGACCTTTGTCCCATACTCCTGTTCCTTCTGATTCTCAGGTGTACTTGCTTGGGACTGGGCTTCCGTCTGTTGTGCTGATGGTGGTAGGCTCCTTTGGCAGGTTCGTAAAGTTATTTTCCTTGGGTGTAAACCAATAAGAAGGTTTATTCAGAAATAAGAAATAGTGAAGTAACTTCTGTTACTCAGTGTTCCCCTTGCAAACCTAGACAAGATAATGTGAAAAGCTAGTTCATCTGAAGGCCTAGGCTGAGCCTGGTTTTGGTTATGTGTAGGGGAAAGATCAGTCCCTTGGGCAACTGATTGTTGATTGTCTGCTCTCAGGCTTTGCTAACTGTGGGTCTGATATCAAATGAATGTGTTGATTGCACAGGTAGGAGGGATCCTGGTGGTAAAAA